CACTGACCCATTGGCCAGTGGGGGAAGTGAGTGCTGGAATCAAGAATTTCACTTTGGAATTCAAGCTGAGATGCCTTTTAAACATCCAAGTGGAGATGTCAGAGAAGCAGTTGGAAAGAGGCGTTTACTTAGAAACCGTGCACTGGACGTGGACAGAGGGCCTGGGCGGGGAGCTCTGAGCGTCAGCGGCATGCCTGGGGCGTTAGCTTTTTATTGCTGCTCTAATAAATAACCTCAGTTTTAGGGGTTGGAAACAGCACTCGTTTATCATCTCAAAGCTCTGTAGGCCAGACATCCAGATGAGCTCAGCATCTCACAGGCCAAAGTCAAGGCGTGGGCTGACCTGAATTCTCATCTGGAAAAGCCTCATCTGGGCTGATTCTGATTTCTGGCAGGATCCTGTTCCACGTGGCTCTAAGACTGGGGTCCCCATGTCCTTGCTGGCTGTCCAGGAGTTGTCTTCTGCTTCTAGAGGCAGCACCCTCCTTGTCACGTGGTCCCATCCATCTTCAAAGCATCAATGACATGGGAGTGTGTTCACGCTCCAAACCCCCTGACCGCCCCTTGTGCCTCCAGCCGGAGCACACTGTCCACTTCCCAGGGCTCATGTGATTACACTGGGCGCATGATACATCATCATCACTACAGTGAATTCTCCTCCGAGTCACAGGTTCTGGGGAGAAAGGTACAGAATCCTGGGGGTGGGGAGGGCATTTTTAGAACCTAGCTTAGGTGTGCTCTGAGCAGCCACCGTGGCTTCTCCTCGCCCCGTGCACCCAGGTCGACATTCCATGTGTCTCCTGGTGGGAATGTTACAGTCAGACATCAAGAAGTGAGATTTATTTCCCGATTAAAAGAGAGCTTCTTGCATAGTAAATCAGTTATACCCATGCACCACACGCAGACAACAGTTGCTCACACACGTGCCTCCTTTCTCTGGGGGACACGCAGCTCTCTCTGGGTGCCTGGGCCTGGGCTGCAGCTCACCCCATCATCATCTACATGTTGTCTCATCAGAGGCATCACCGCCTGTGCAGAACACCGATCACTAACTACACGATCGCCTCCTGAAACCAAAGCCTAGTCCGGCCGCCTCCCAGGAACGCAATTCCGCTCAGCAAGTGTACACCTCAGGCTTTTTCTGGGCTCCTTTTTATAAGTTTCAATGAATGGCCCCAGAAAGATCTCAAAGTTTATTTTTAAATGGGAGTGTGCATTTTTGAAGGAGCACCCAGCGTTCTCTTCAGTGACAGCCAGCTCTTACGTCCGGTGGGTGCTGGAGAAACCTTGCACCCTTCATCGGAAGCCCGAGGGGAACCCTACTTTATGGAGGTGGAAAGGTTGTCGTCATCAACAACAGCAATGGCAATAGAAGTAGCACCGTGGCCGAATCCCTTGGCCGGGCCAGACAGCTCACCTGCCGCTTGCCCCTCCGTGTCGCCGTGTGTGAAGAGTCTGTTCCTTTGCTAGGACGAAGTTCCCTCTCTTCGCCCGATCCCCGTCCATCCTCACGCCGGCCCGTAAGACTGAGTTTGTGTCCCCATCTCACACCGAGGGAGCAGGGCTCAGAGAGGCCCAGCCACCTGCCCAAGGCCACACGGTCTGGAAGTGCCCCCATTGAAAGGGGTCAGCCCGGCTCAGCCCTGCCAACTCTGTCCTGAAGCCTCACCTCCTCATGGACTCGGGGGAGATTTTCTAGCCTTCGGCGGACCTCTAAGGACACCTGATTTGGGAATGTGGGTTAGAGAGATTGTCAGTCATTTTCCAGCGTCGTCCCTCCAAAGTTAAAAGGCGTGTCACCCAGGTAAGAAGAAAAAGGAGCCCCTTTAAATGGAGCAGGAGCGGCCACCCCAGAGGAGCCGCCCAGCTGTCTTAGACCTCAAACCTTTGCAGTGTTAAAATGGCCAAACAGCCTTTGGGCTGGGCCTAAAGCAACTTTGTGTCCTAAAGACCTGTTTGCAAAGATAGTCAGAAAGCAGATACTATGACTACCAGGCTGAAAATTAAAAGCATTGTTTCGAGTCGGCGCCACTGTGTTACCGTATCTGTGCCCGTATCTGCACCAACAGCGACGCCTTCCTGCTGCGGATGGCGCGGTCCCCTCCCCTTCCTCGCCGATGCCCCTGGCCTTTGTCCCCTCCTCGGAACGCTGTGGGTTGCTGCCTGAATCAGGGCACCCTAATAGCGATCCTTATTGATCTCAACTAAGTGCAGTGGACTTAGAAAAGCCTTTGGCTTTTAGGTGGCCACCTGGAATTCTGGCCCAGCTTCTGCCGCGTGGAGGCGGAGCTTCCTGAAGGGCGGTTCATGGTGCTCCCCCGGGAAACGGCTCTGCTCCTCATGAAGCCAGCGCGGATCAGGGGAACGTCCCAGAACCCCAGAACTCTTCAGAGCCTGTGGGGACTCCTCCAGGCTCCCCTGGAAATGATGGCAATCAGGTGGGTCAACGTGGAAACCTCCTGGACTTGGTATCTGTTGCTGAGTAACAATTCCCCCCAGACTCAGCGGCCTAAAACTCCCCGTGGTCTCACAGCTCGGTGGGTCAGGAACCCAGGGGCAGCTGAGCGGGTCCTCTGGGCCAGGGTCTCTCCAGGGTTGTGGCCATCACGGGGCTTCCCCAGGAAGGCTCGGCTATCTGGCTCACTCCCGAAACTGCTGGTGGGCTTCAGTTCCTGGCCGCTGTTGAACGAAGGCCTCGCTCAGGTCCTGTGAGCTGTTGGATGCGGTTCCCTTCATTCCTTGCTATGGGGTGTCAGCTGGCGGCATGAGACAGGAGGAGGGCAGAGGGGGAGTGGGAAGGGAGGGGGAGGAGGGAAGGGGGGGAAGGGAGAGAGCTATAAGACGGAAGTCACAGTCCTTTTTTTTTTTTTTTTTTTAATCCTCATCCGAGGACATTTTTCCATTTTTTGCACAGACAGAGTGGGAGGGAGAGAGAGGAAGAGAGAGAGAGAGGGAAACATCGATGTGAAGGGACACATCAAGTGGCTGCCACCCACACGACCAACCAGGGCCAGGGACAAACTGCAACCGAGGTACATGCCCTTAGTGGGAACCGAACCCGGGCCTCTCCGGACCGCAGGCGGACGCTCTAACCGCTGAGCCAAACCAGCCAGGGCACAGTCCTTCTTTTTAATCCTCACCCGAGGATATTTTTTCATTGATCATCAGACAGAGTGGGAGGAAGAGTGAGGGGGAGAGAGAAACACTGATGTGAAAGGGACACATCAACTGGCTGCCTCCGACCCTGACCAGGGCCGGAGACGAACTGCAACCGAGATACATGCCCTTGACCGGAATGGAACCCATGACTCATTGGTCCGCAGGCCAACGCTCACCACTGAGCCAAACCGGCCAGGGTGGAAGTCCTAGTCTTTTGTGACCTGATCTGGGAAGTGGCCTGCTGTCCCTTTAACCACATTCTATTCTTGGAAGAGGGTCAGTAGGTCCTGCCCACACTCAAGTGGCTTCCTGGAGTCTTGGTTCCATTTGGGGAGAATATTCATACGTTTTGGTACAAAAAACATGAATGGATTTAATTTTGTGGGGCTGGCGGCCCCAGACCTTGCCAGAAGGGTTATGTAATATACCATAGACGTGCTTTTCAAAATCTACACAATTCTACGTTCTCAGACACCTCTGGTCTCAGGCTCTGGACACTGAAGTCCGGCGCTCCTGGAGCAGTTACCCTCGGGTGTGTTTCAATGTATACAGCTTGTTTTCCCAATAGTTTTATTCAATCACATCGTGATTTTCTTATGACTCAACCTGGGACTTCTTGTCTTGGGCTGAGATGTGCTCGGGACAGAACCCATCGTGAGTCCCCAGCCGAGCTACATTGCACGTGGTTTCCGAGGCCACGCGTCCCGAAACCCACCTGCCGCTTCGCCGCGGGCTGTGTTCCCATGGCGTCCGCGGGGTCGCCAGCCTCGTCTCGACCTTGGAAATGTTGTGGTATTTTACAGTGTGTGATGACATGCGTCCCATTGAAATACCCACAAACAGGCTGGTTTCCATAGATTAAACATCAGGGTTGAGACCGGCCAGGGTACCTGAATCTTCGCGTGTCCTCCACTTCGATTCTCAGCGGACGCCGATGATGGGACGCTGTGTTCTGTGCTGAGCCCCGGAGTGTGGCCCAGGTCAGGCCGAGGCCGGGGCGTCAGTGCGGGGGAGGAGGAAGGCACCGCCCTCTGCTACACGGACACAAACACAAACCAGCTCCCCGAGGTGCCTCCGAACCCGGCCCTCTTCTCGTCGACCGGGACAGGTGGGCATGCTGGCTTCTCCTGCACCCTCTGCCCAGCGGGAGTCCCCACTCCCCACCTTCCCCTTTGTAGGACCTGGAGCAGAGCCTCAGGGTGAGGCAGGAACCGGGGTTCACGTCAAATGTCCGTGAAAGGAGGGCAGAGGCCTGGTTGGCCCGCTCGGCGGTGGCTGGGGGGCCGGAGAAGCAGGGAGGTTTCGTGCGGAGCCCGTGGAAGCCCATCCTGTCTGCAAACCTTCGCTCACTGGCAAGTCTCAGGCTCCTTTCGGCTTTCAAGCTATCGGCAGGTCCTGGCCGGGGCGTCAGGGGGCCCTCCGGTGCTTTATCCCTCCTGGACGCAGGCCCGGGGCACTGGCCACAGACACCCGGTGCCGTCTCACTACAACCAGCGGCGGTGAGGTGGGACGGTACGCGGCAGGAGAGGACCTAGACAGATAGCTTTCAAATTCAATCACTTCTTTTTAAAGCCATACCCAGAAAGTCCCAAGGTATATAAAGAAAAATGCAGAGAATCCGTTTTGCCTTATGTAGTACATTAACCCAGGAGTGATACAAGGACGTTCCAGAAGGGAGGTATTGATAAACTGAACATGTCAAAGGGCTATTTTGTGGGTTTTTGCAAATGTGGAGGGGAGCTCTGTCCTCAGAGGGGCCGTGGGAGCTTTCTCCTCCCCTGGCATGGGCCCGGTGCCCGGCGGGCTGCCCGGCTGCCCCAGGGCCGGAGGCCCCGCCCCGCTCAGTGGATGCCCTCCTTCGGCCAGCCGAGCTCCTTGGCATACGTCCCTTTGCAGCTCTGAATCACTTTGTCGTACTCCAAGCACTTGTTCAGGCCGGGCACCCCGGACCGCCAGCCGATGAAGCCCTGGGTCGTCTTGGGGACCGGGGGTGATGGAAGCACCTGGAATGGAGATGCAAGGGGACGAGTCACCCTGGGCCATGGCGACATGAGGAGTGTCCCCAGAGGCACCTGGGTCCGCCCGTGAGGCCTGGTGTGGAAAAGACAGACCGCAAAGCCAGGGTCCCTTATAAGGTGGACCCCGAGACTCATGTCGGCCTGAAAGTAATGCTCACCAAACACATTCCTTTTCATGGGATTCATGGCCTCCAATAAAATTATTCTTATTCGGTCAAAGATCAAAAGGGGGGAGTGGGGGGAAGCATGGTGCAAAAATATCACACGCTGCCTTGATAAAATATAGGAGGGCATTGTCAGATGGGATTCTGGGAGTTATACACCTTCTGGCTTTGATTAGAATGCTTTATGACATGTGCGCGCACACATGCACACACGTGCACACACATGTACGCAACACACATACATGCACGCACACTGTGGAGACCACAAGAATGAAAAGCAATTGAACTTCATTAGAATCCAAAAGGAAAACAGGATTCTTTCTGAGATGAAAATAACAAACAAACAGCAATTCCGTTTCCTTCATCAGTTCCTGGGACAGACGACGTTTCTGGAAAACGAGGGTCAATGTTGAGGCTGTGTCCCCTTCTCCACATGAAGCAATGGCCTGCTCTGCGCTCGGGGTGATCTGAGCGGGAACAGCACTGAGGAGTGTTTGTTCTAACCGAACTGACATAAAGGGGCTTAATATGCTTGGGGTTAGGAGTTCACCCTGGGCTAGAAGCATTTTGGCACAGGCCGTGGCGGGAGGGGGCGGTCCTGGTGGATGGAGCCCCTTAACATATGTTCTTGATGAAGTATTAAAATTAATCTCCTGAGAGGCCACATGCAGGGAGGGACATCAATAAGTGCCAGAGGGGCCAAGGTCTCCTGGAGCCAGCTCTGGGTGGGATCGTCGCAGACAGGCCCTTGGGGACACACAGACGAGCTCTCAAGCCCCCCTCCAACTTGTGAGAAGAATGCAATCGAGAACCACCCTGGGAGGCCACACTGCACCCGCCAGATGGGCAAAGAAATGAACATGGCACCCTTAACAAGGGACCTGGGCAGAGCCTGTCGGTTCATTGTCTGTGAAGGGTGATATTGCCATTATCCACGAAAAGCGGAGGTCAAGGTCCCCCTCTCCTGGCTGCCTTCCGTCCTGAGCAGTTTTCACCCGGAGCTGCTTTCTCTGCAGCTGAGCAGAGGGAATGACGGGCCCGCGAGAAGAGGCCCAGGACCTACGGACCTCAGCGATGTCTAGCCTCTGACCCATCTCCGCAGCGGACTGGTCTCCGGCGGGCGCGCCGTCTAAGTCTGGCACTCACTCAGCGGCGGAGTGGTCTTCAGAGAGGCAGTTTCCACGTGTCATGGCCCTGTTTCCCATGCAGGCTGAGCTCCAATCCCAACTGCTACCTCTTCTCCATCCCGGCCCACCTCTCCATCCACATCCCTGCCCTCCCCACCCCTACCCCACCCCCCCCAGCTCACCAAGCTCCAGACACATTCCCGGCAAAGGGAACAGCACGTACAGATGCCCTGAGGCAGAGCAAAGGTTCATAGGTTTCAGGAGCAGCCAGGGATGTTGATGTGTCTGGAGCTTGGTCCCTGGCTGCTCCTGAAACCTATGAACCTTTGCTCTGCCTCAGGGCATCTGTACGTGCTGTTCCCTTTGCCGGGAATGCTTGTCCCTGGGCTGGCTGCTTGTTCTTCAGTCAGCTCCGCAGGGAGCCCCATCCCCAACATCACCCGTCCGTTTCCCCCATGGCCCCCAGCCCGGTGTACAACAATGCTGTCGATTTTCTTTTTCACCCCGGCGCCCCTGACCCAGGTGTGTGGGCTGGAGTGTCCTCCTCGTCCATCACCGTTTGCCCCTCCGAGCACCTGGCGCCCAGCAGCCAGCCGTCGCTGGCACTCTGAAAGTGCTGGGCACTGCTCGGGGCCTTCCCAGGCATCCCGCCGCTGGACCGGGTGCCACTCCCGGAAGCCGGGGCTTCCATGAACCTCCACTCTGGAAGGCCAAGCAGAGACAGACAGGTCCAGACCCCCCGGGGGGGAGTGCCCAGCAGCCTGGCTCCAGAGCCCGCCGCTGCCCGCCCTGCTCTCCCGCCCACTCCCTGCGTTTGCTGGAGGCTGAACCAGGCCCTCCTGCTCTGGCCCCTCTGCTTCTTCAGAGCCGCAGCGGAGCCTCTCACAGAGGGGACGGCCACCCGACGTGTGGGCCTGGAAGGGGCGTGGGAGGGGCGTGGAAAGGCTGGAGGGGCGTGGAAAGGCTGGAGGGGCGTGGAAAGGGCGTGGAAACAGGACTCCCCACCTGCCCGCCGCTGACTTCTTACCTTTGGGGGCTGGCTTTGGGCACCTGCACGGACACATTGCCCAGCGGGGCTTACTTGTCATGGGGGAAGCAAGTATTGAAACACAACATGCAAACCTTGATGTATTTCTCCACTGGGGTCACCGGCCGGATGCGGAACCTCTGGGGAAGCTCGATTCTGGGCTTTGGGGCGGGGGCGTTGTCCTCACACTCCGCCAGCTGGAACACAGTCCCAGAGTCAGGAAACCCCAGGCCGAGGTGGTGGCGTGTCCTCTCGGCCCCCAGACTGCTGAGTTTCACAGGTGACAAAGCTCGTCCCCATCGCAGTCAGAAGGGGGCAGGGGGCCTGCAGCCGCTAACAGCTGCCCCGGCCGCGCTCGGCCGCTGATCTCTACCCCCGAGGAGTCAGCTGAGAAAACTTGACAGGCAGGGACTCGAATTTAAAAATGCCAACCAGGGCCCAGGACCAACTTTGAAAATATCAGAGAAGAGCCCCACCGCCCCCTTCTAACTTTTAAAGCAATTTTGAACTCTTCGAAAATCCAATTTCATGGCGTAGAAAGCATATTAATATAGACTCTTTTTATCCAGATGATATTAATAAGGACTCATTTTATGCATAACATTTCAAACTGTCCAATTCTTGAAGTCTCAAAAATCTCGTCAAGAGTGGCATAACTTCGAAGCCAGTGGGATGGGGTGAGTTACGAACGGGTTGGCCCTGCCCTGAATCAGACCCATGTTGAATCGGGCAGCTCGTATTCGGTTCCGCCACCCTCCAGAGAAGCGTGGCTTCCTCGTGGCGTGTCCCATGCAGACCGGTGGCCACCAGCCCACGGAAGCCCACTCGCGTTTTGCAGGCCTGAATGGTTTTATAAATCGGAGCCACGATTCCAGACTTAGAAGATGGTATTTAAATGTCTGGGTGTCTGGACTCGAACAGCTAGAATATGCAGTTGGCCTCTCTAAGTGGTAGCTGGGCGGATGACGGCTGCGTCCGGCCAGGGACAGTGGTCTCCTTGCTGGAGTCCCCACCGGTCCCTAAGAATGATTACGCCTGGCCCTTTGCCCATTTCTGTTGCCTTGTTTAGGACATACCACGACATTTGCCTAAGAATCCCTCCTGTGCCAGCTCTGCCTCCCCATCTCAACCGCTTGGACCCTCAGTCACTCAGTGAGGCAGGTAAGGACTATCACCCCATTCTACAGATGGCAAGTCTGAGGCCAAGTGGCCCTGGACTCAGACCCGCTGCTCCCCCCGGAAGCTGCTCTTTGTTCGCTGCCTGACTTGGCACTGCTCCAGCCTCAACTGCTAATTGGTGACCCGAGCACAAAGGAGCACCCTCTGCATAGGGTCTGTGGTGCGGGTTCAAGAAGCTGCTTTGGAAGAAGCACGTAGTAAGTGTTCAATAAATACAGGAAAGGCCCTGGCTGGTTTGGCTCAGGGGTTAGAGTGTCGGCCCGTGGACCAATGACTCGCGGGTTCGATTCCGGTCAAGGGCATGTACCTCGGGTGCGGTTCATCCCTGGCCCTGGTCAGGTGGCACAGGAGGCAACCAGTTGACGTGGCTCTATCACATCGATGTTTCTCTCTCTTTCCCTCCCTCCCTCTCTGTCTGATGATAAATGGAAAAACATCCTCAGGTGTGGAATAAAAATAAATAAAAGTTCCGGAAAGGAAGGACGTTCAGTCCCAGAGGCCGCAGCCTGCCTCCCACACACTCGACTTTTGTTCTTGTCCATTACCCACTTCATAACCATTTATTCTCGGAAATGATCGATTCTAGAGCCTCTGGGCTGATACAAATTCTGTTTACCTCCTCGAGGGGGGTTGTTAAAAACCCCCACTTCTGGGCCCAGTTTTGCCGTGCTTCGGTCTCGGCCCTCAGGCGGTACCTCCTGAAACAGAAAGTTCCTGAGCTGGACAATCGGAAGGTGAACGTGGCGGGCCGGCAGGTCCCCTGGGGCACTTACAGCTGTCAGTGCACAGCCCCTGGACGGGGTTCTGTGCCGAGCGAGCACCCCTGTCGCCGAGAACCTCATGCTCAGGGGAGGGAGTCCCTGTCTGCAGAACAGACTCTGGCTGACTCTGCCCGAGGGGCCTGCAGGTACCTGTCTGGGAGTCCCTGTGAAGTACACAGCAAGTACCTCTGTTCTCAGGGCAAGGACCAGGGTGGGGTGAGTGAGGCCCATGAGGCGCAGAAGTTAAGGAGGCACCCACTCCCAGGCTCCTGCGCGGGCACAGCCAGTACCGCCGGGCCTTGAGCGCAAGTCCTCCTTAAACACCGCACCCCAGTGCCTGGCTCGCCCCACCCTGCTTTGCTTCCCATTAAGAAGCTGAGTTGAGTTGATATCAAGGAGTGGGTGTGTAAACATTTATTCATTTTGATTTTCAAGTTTCTTTTCTTATTTTGGAATCAATACCTGCCCCTCACTCTCCATGAGGTCTCAACAGTTTCAGAGGCCCTGGCCGAGCTCTCTGCCCTGGGCCCTGAGCATCTACAGTGAAGTCTGTTTCCAAAGGAGAGGTCACAGGAGCCATACTTAGAATTTTAAATGTTCTAGTAGCCACATTAATATAATTCAAAGCGAACAGGTGAACTTAATTCACACTTTTGGGGTGTCCAATCTTTAAAAGCTGGTATTTTACATTTACAGCTCATCCCTACTTGGAACAGTTCCATTTCAAGTGCTCAGTGGCCACTTTGGACATTGCTTCACTGTCTCTGTTTATATAGGAAGGCCCATCTGATTTGGGTCTTGAAGGACGTGTAGGAGTTTATCTGGTAGAAAAAGAAGAAAGGGGCATTCTAGGCAGCAGGACAGACCCCGCTATGGTAGTCTCTCCTACTGGGGGTACTTGCATAACAATAAAAATACAGATTTAAACAAAACTAATAGCTGTGTATTTTATACCAAATAATACTGGCTTTGCATTTTCAAGAGCGATATAAAGTTTTCTATAAAAATACATGTCTTACATGAAACAAAGCCAGTTTAAAAAATATATTAACTGACTACTGGAGGTTAAACGTGGTGAAAGAGAGATGACAGAATAAGTGAAGTTTAAGGGGCACAGGGTGTTGTTACTAAAACTTCTAAGTTTACTTATCGGCATCTAAACTAGTAACTCCCCATATTGGCTAAAACCTCGAAGAGATGGGATGATGCTGAGCCGCTGGAGAGAACGCCAAAGAAAAACCACCATATGCATCTCTGCTGAGCACGAATCTTACAGAAAACGGACCTATTCTTCAAATTAAAATGTCTAATTATTTTTTAAAATCTAGGGAAAGCAAGAGAGACTATAGAATGTATATGTATCTCTCATTCAAACGGAACAAATATTAAGGTGTTTGTTTAGTTCCTTTCTTAACAATTTGGTCTTAAAAATAAGAACACATCTGTTGCTCTCAAGCAGAGCCTTGCGGATGGTTGTGGAGCCCGACGCAAAATCTTTCGGGTTCTTGCAGTGAGCCCCCAAGACAGAGAACGGAAAGCCCTCGGGTCGACCACGTGTCCCTATCACGGCCTTCGTTCCTCAAGGCCCCTGACCACCTCCAGGACAGGATGGAAACCAAGGTCACTAGATGTGTCCACTGCAGACGGGAGCGGCCCAGCCCACCGGGTTACCGGATCCCCCGCGTTACCAGATCTCGTCCTGGGCCACGAGGTTCATGCGCTCGGCCGCCGCGATGCTGATCGGTTTCTGCGCCATGGGCCCTGGGGTCTCTGTAGCCCGCCGCGCCGCCGCCCTGGCTCAGCGTCTTTGTCGCCCAGGAGACCGGTTGCCAAGCAACACAGGACGCGGAGGCGGAGGCAGCGCCGCACCTGGCGGGGGTGGGGCCGCGGGGCGCGCACTGGATCCGTGCGCAGTGCCCGCCTCCGCCCGCCTCTGCGCTCTTCGCCCGCCTCCCTCCTCGCTGCCCATCTGCCTGGACCTGGCTTCTCTGCGGAACACCTTGGGGAAACATCAAGACCTAACACCCGCCTCCTTTAAAACCTAGACCTGGAATGCAAGCATACACACTGACAAGTGTACCAAGCTGTGTGCCAAGCTTAATGTCACAGAGAACGCACCCCTGTAACCACCGCCTGGAGTAGGGGATGGGACATTCCAGCCCCTCCCCTTGTCTAGGGCAGAGATTAGTTTGGCCACTTTGTGAACTCTGTGTTTGGCTTCCTGGGCCCAATGCCATGTCTGAGGGGTCCATCCACACCGCTGTGCTAGCCGTCAGGTGCCCACTTGCATTCCGCTGCTGCAGACATCGGAGTGGAGTTCCTGCTACCGCCAGAGCTGCTTCGACTCTACCTGCGGGAGGCCTCTGGAGAACGGAGGTGTGCATTTCTGTTGGCACCCACTCTTTTTTCTCTTTATTGATTTTAGAGAGAGACGACAGGAGAGGGAGAGAGAGAAACATTGATGAGAGAGAACATCACTTGGCTGCCTCCTGCGTGCCCCCCACTGGGGATCGGGCCCACAACCTGGGCATGTGCCCTGAGTGGGAATTGAACTGGTGACCTCTTGGTGCATGGGTTGATGCTCAACCACTGAGCCACACCAGTCGGGCTGGCACCCACTCTTTATAACAATCCCCAAATGAAATTCACAGATAACATCTTCTCCAGACCTGCACCCACACTCTCTCTCATGCCCATCCACAACTGACCCCTCATCACTGGGGTGCTCAATCGGTGTTTGGGAAATGACTTGTGGACCCTCAGGGCTTCCACCGCACCGCGTTGCCATAGGCCTGGAACAGGAAAATGGGTCTAAGATTCAAGAATAAGCGGATCAACCTTGCAGGTGGGGGAACGTTATTTTGCCTGAGCTGCCATGGGACACACAGGTGTCCAGAGCCTCACGGGACCCAGAGAAGAGAGGCACCGTGTTCGGCTGACCTGCAGGCCACCTCCTGATACTTCCCAAGGTCCCATCTACAGGGACTTGGATGTTTCCATCATCCAGTTGGGTGTCCGTGGCTCTCCCTGGCGTGTCTCTCTCCCTCTGCCCTCCTCCCTCACCCACAGCTGTATTCTTTTACCGGGCGTTTGGAGGATGGGAGCTCCTCTCGTAACGATGTTCTCCACACCCAAGGTGCGTGAGGTTCTTCCTGGCTGTTGGAAATGCTGGGTGGAGGCCCAAGACTGGGGCGGTCCTAACTGCTCAGCCAAAATAGTGAGGGGCAGGCAGGGCGGGGCGGAGCGGAATGGGTTAATAGTGAACATGTAACACGCCAGCCCTGGGGCTGAGCACGTCTCAGGCTGGGCCCGACTGCCACGGTGTGGATGGGTGTCCAGGGTGGCCCGGGGCTTTCTTCCTGGCTTTTCCTCTGAGGTCACCGTCCCCAGAACGGGAAGGAAGGTGTCCTTGGGAGAACTGAGTAGTAAGTGGACGGCTCAGAAAAGAAGACCCATCCAGTGGGGAGGCCTCTGCTTCTCCCTTGGGACGCTTCGAAGATGATTCTGTTCAAATGATGAATTAAGAATAAACTCGTTTACCGAATGTCTATAAGCCAGACACCGAGGGTTCATTCATTCTGCAAATGTTTGCTGAGCGCTTCCTTCGTGCCTGGGGACCCAGGAGGGAACAAGCCGACAGAGGTCCTCCTGGGGCTGACATGTCTGCAGTGGGGGCTGACATGTCTGCAGTGGGGGCTGACATGTCTGCAGGGAGGACAGACACGCAGACAAGGCCCAGAGAACTGCGTGCTGCCACGTTGTCGCAGGGAAGGAGGCGACAGTCGGGAGGAGGGGTGTGGAAGGGACTATTTTAATAAAGGCCTCTCAAGAGGGAACATTTGAGCACAGAGGGTGACCTTGCAAAGGGATTGGAAGGGTGTTCCGTGGAGGGGGGAGGAGCAGCACAAAGGTCGGAGGTGGAAGCAGCCTGGGGTGCTTGGGGAACACGGAGGCCAGTGGGGCTTTGGGCTCCCGGAAAGTGCAGAAACGGAAAAGCAAGCCGGATCCCCAGGAGTTCGCCGGGTAGGACAGGGATGTCCGTGCCCCCGTGATGACGGACCAGCTGCCAGAGGCAGCTGCGGTGGGATGAAGGCCACTGAGCGCGGCGGGCGAGGCAGAAGAGGGCGGAGGAGATGGGTGAGCTGGGATTTGAAGGGTGCACACCGGCTTCTTCCCCCAACTGCGCACGAGCCGCCACTCCCGCCGCGGGGTGTGTGCTCTGGACCCTGAATCAGCGCACATGCGGGACCTTCCCCCCTCAGCGGTGGTGCCAGGTTCGGGCAATCGCTACAGGAGGTCCAGTTAAAGGTGAATTTCCTGGGGCACACGGGAGATACAGTTTCTTCGCCTATCGCTTTCATGGATCTGAAACAGGGAGAGCCGAGGCAGGGAAAGACGGCCGCGTGGCCGCCTGGACACGGACACGGAGACTGTTTACAGCTTGCAGACAGTTCGCTGTGTTCCTGTATATTAATATTTTTGGCCCTCTCTCCGTGTTCTGGGACAGTTTTTTGTTTTTTTCTCCTTGCTGTTGCTTTATAAAACATTTCGGCGGCTGGAGCCAAATGCTTCTTTTTAGTTCTGAAGCTTAAACAGTTTCTTCTTTATTCTACATTTTTCATTTTTATTTATTTTTTTAACCACAGCTCAGCAAGCTTTGTGCCCGCGCGCGCCTGCCAACCTGTGCGCCTTTCCACCGATTTGCCTCCACCGCCCGGCGGCGGGAAGCGTGGGTGCCAAGTGCCCGTCGCCAGGGAACGCAGCCGATGGCCCGACCCTGCTCCAGCCTCAGGTGCTCAGTAGTCCTGGTCTTTCCACATTCATGCGGCTGGCTGTTTTTTATGATCCTCACCCGAGGATATTTCTGTTTGTGCTCAGATAGAGTGGGAAGGAGGGGGAGACAGAGAGGGAGAGAGAGAGAAACACCAGCGTGAGAGGAACACGTCGACTGGCTGCCCCCCACACGACCCCGACCAGGGCCAGGGACCAACTGCGACCGAGGCACGTGCCCCTGACCAGAACCGAACCTGAGACTCTTTGGTCTGCGGGCTGACGCTTTAAGCGCTGAGCCAAACCGGCCAGGGCTCATTAGGATGTCTTTTGTCACAGCAAAAGAACTGTTTTTTCACTTTGCGACACCTAGCAGGGGCGGGGAATCTTTTTTCTGCCAAGGGCTATTCGGATATTTATCACATCATTCGGAGGCCGTACAAAATGATGAACTTATTAGCTCTGTGTGGTCAGGCGAATTTGGTGAGGGTGTGATGTTAGCTGGTATTGGTTTCCAGGGCCTTACGTGGCCCCCGGGCTGGACGTTCCCCACCCCTGAAGGGACAGTTGACTTCGTTCTCTGGGTCTTACTGAGCAGGAAGGAGCTGGAAGCCTCCCTCGGGACTGTGCTCTCCGTTTGGCCTCATGACTGAGTAGTGCCCCAACTAGAGGCGCCCCACCAGACTGGAGGTGCAGCTTGTCCCTCACGGTCTGTCCTTGGCCCCTCCTTTCCAGCCTCTTTGTGCAGGGCTCTTGCAGTGTCAGCAAAGCCCAAGGTCTTTGTGGAAAGAGGAGTAAGTTTGAATTGCAGTGACCTTGACTTCCAGGTGTGACCAGCCCTCGCCAGCCTGGGGGCTTTGGGGACCCCGGGAAGTAGAGGGTATCATGGGCTTCCACCTTCCAGAGTGCAGTGTTGGAGAAGGGGTGGGGTCAGAAAGGCATGTGCTCTGACCCCGGAGGTGTCGCCGAGAAAGGGCTTAGATGTAGCTTTACGTCACAGATACCACACTCGAGTGGGAACTTAAGTGTGATGACTGTCTGTTATCCCAGAGGGATTTTATTATTAGCCGCACTGGGTTCTGCAGGGAAACCGGATCTGGGGCAGGAAGGTTGAAGGGGCTGGTTTCCCGTTCTGTCCAAAAGATGCCGCATCCCTTTGTTTACTCCTGGTGGCTCCAGGCTAACCTCCCAAGGCCGGAGCGCTTTGGACGGCCATTCTTTCTTCCATTCCTTCAACCAACACATAGTTATGGAGTCTCTTCTGTGTGCTGGGCCTGTGCTGGGCCAGCAGGGACAAGACAGGCCTATCCCAGCCTTAGGAAGCTCCCAGTCCAGTAAACAAACCAGGAGATTCTTCATGTGTTTTATTTTGTATAAAAACAAATAAAGGGTGGTGTGGGGTCAGGGAGCTCTCTCGGCAGCGTGGTCCAGAAGATGGCATTTGAGCAGGGTCCCAAGCGAGGCAAGGATGCCTTTGTCGCTGGAGACAGCAGAGGGTATCCCCGGGGACTGGGCCTGGGAGGCCCGGCAGGCTGGGGTGGGGGTTCAGGTTTTATTCCAAGTTCAGTGGGAGGTCCTTAGTGCATTTGGGTAGCACTGTCCAGTCCAACACACAGGGTCTCTGTCCTTGGGCATGGCATAGGACACACCATCCCCCCTAGTCCCCACTGCCCCTCGAAGAACATTCTCTGATATTCTCTTGCCAACTTCCAGGTTTGGCTGGGGGCATCAGGAATTCAGGGCCGAGACCTCATGAGAGAGAGGAAGAAGGTTGTTCTTCTGAAATCTTTTTTGGATCATCCCCTCCCATGCTTGAAGTAGTTCTGGGTAATAGCAGCTAATTTTATTGCCGCCGTTCCCAACCAGCTCCAGGCCTGACCAATCACCAGGTGATATCTTTCTGGCTGCAGTGATTGGTTTGACAAAAAACCATGTGACTCAAGCAGGGCCAATCAGAGTCCTTCCCTGGGATTTTTACAAAAAGACACCATGCTGGGATAATAAGAGCTCTATTTTTGTCAGACTCATGACTGTGATGAGAACTGAAATTTATCAACAAGTCCTTCCCAAGCATCACTGCATTTCCCAAGCACAACAGCCCTATTCTTAGCTTGCAGAGGTAAAACAGAATCAGAGAACTTAAGCCACTTGTCCATAGTCACAGAGCTATAAAGACAGAAAACTGAGCCCTGGCCAGTTTGGCTCAGCGGTTAGAGCG